CTCTCTCTCTCTCTCTCTCTCTCTCTCTCTCTCTCTCTCTCTCTCTCTCTCTCTCTCTCTCTCTATATGTCTGGCATTGAATTGACACAATTCAATGACTGAGAGATTGAATATAAAATTCAAACGGTTTTCATTATATTCAATGCATTTATTGCGCAAATAATACATACATGTGTGCATACCATCCCTTTCCCCCCTCTCGCACACCACCACAACCCCCATCCCGTTACTACAGGCGACCCTTCGCTATAGTGTACCAAAACAAAAGTCAGCGTACATTATAGCGAGGCGGGTGTCCGAGAGATGCGAGAGTGAGTGAGAGATCATTAAGGATACGGACCTGAGAGAGGGTGTGTGTGGGGGAGAGGGGAAGGGAAAGGGATACTTATGTCCAGTTGTTTTTGTGTGAGATTTTTGGTTAAACAGCTGTACTGTTAATCGCAGGCATTGTTTACTATAAGCGAGTGTTTACTATACTCTCTCACTCGTAGAGAGAGAGAGAGAGAGAGAGAGAGAGAGAGAGAGAGAGAGAGAGAGCTCTATATTAAGAGGGGTGGGAAGGGATAGACACTGACAGGGATGTGGGGGACGGGAGTCGGCTGCGCGGCTGGCAATGGGTGAGTGATAGGAAGGGGGAGAGTGGAGGGCCAGGGAGGGGGTTGTCATCACGACCGGGCAAAAAAAAGATACCACACATACAGTGAGTGGTGAACATCAAAGACATGGAAAAACACTGGTTTTTTCCTTCTGTGGGACAGACAGACGGCCGGATAGACAGTTGGCGTTCATTACCCATACATAACACACACAATACTCTTTGGGCAACGGATTATACCGTAAATCCCATGTTATAGTTATGGGACCCAAAAATGTAATAACTTATTGTCAATAAGTGCCAAATGGAAAAAACAATTATAACGTTAATATACACCACAAGGTTAATTGATTTAAGTAATTAATCATTATGCGCGCACATGGTAGACCGCAAAATAACATACACGCACATGTTAACACAAATGATAACAATCGGATCAATTAACCAAGATAGTTATCTAATCGATAAAACTAAACCAAAACAACTAGAAACAATTAAAAAACTACACCAAACTACCCTAGGGAAACTTAACTATGTACTAGAACAAACAAACAAAAAAATGTCCATGGTACAAAACACATACCCTTGATCTGTGTGACAAACTTATGCTGCAGCGCGTCGACCATAGGCCACGTGATGTGGGGTATGGGCACCGACATGGCTGAGGACAGGCTCTGGGCGGACGAATAGTTCATCATAGAGTAGTGGTGGCCGACAACCACCCCCTCATCGGTGTCCATCCCATCGCCATCTTTACAATCGTGGTCTTTGCCCTTTTGGGTGGTGAGCGCGGCCTCGAGTAGACCGGCCACCACCGACAACTGGGCCAGGTTTGGCCGCCGGTCGGCCCTCACCTGCGACCGGAACAGTTCGCACACATCGCCGATCGTCTTCAGTGGGAACAGTCGCCGCACGTTACGGCTGCTCGCCGTGTGTTTGTCCGTAGCCATGGCTACACACTGTCTATGGGGCTGTGACTGACAGCCCGTGAATGTGTGGCACCCGACGGGTCCAGTAGTCTAGTTATAATAGTACCGATTGCTGTAGTATTTAGTGATGCAGTATTAGTGTTGACATGTGCTCACACGCGTACATCACTGACAGCCACCACACATACACTGTATATGTATTGTATTTATATATTTTAATCCATGTAAACACTGTTAAACCATGGCTTCACCGTATCGAGCGTACACTATGTTAGGTGTGTGATGATTGGCCCTGGTCAGTTGCGGTTGACACTTGATTTAGATTGGTGATTTTTAAATTATAAAATTATTTTTCACACTATGTAATATTGACTGGTGTGTTGTGTTTATTGTTGACTGTGTTATGCCGTTCACCACGTATTGACTGTACGTTGCGTTTGGTGTGCGCCTACACTGTGTGTGTGTCTGTGCGCTGTATATGCGCTGATCATAACAATTATAATCCCTATTGCGTTAACATTACACTAACACTCGCGCTGTTGTGTCTGTGCTGTGCAGTGTTAACACACATTTCATACTACCCTTCACTGTATGTGTGTATTGCAGGCGTTTTATATGCCATTCACTACTGTTGGACACGATATTACTGTCACATATACCTCACTGTGCGTATAGATTACGTCCCCTTTTATCATAACCCATGCTCTCTCCACCGCCACCCGATACAGTCCACTCGCGTTATGCGATACAAATTTATTAATTGTAGTTATTATTACCAGTCACAACTCAATTTATTATAATCCTATCTAGTTGATTTGATATGGTAAAATTATACTGATTACTTTTATATTTTGGTACAAATTGTTTGCATAAATTGTACGCGCATTATAGCGAGAATATACTGTATGCTAGTAGTTTTCCAGTACAGTCCGACTCTTATGTTAGTAGAAAAATAATGTATTGATTTTTACGACACGTTAACCAATGAGACCCCTGTGTTTAAAAAGCATATAGTTATTCATACATGTATTTTATCATCATCATTATTATTATTACCGAGAAAAAACCATTTCTACGCACAATATAAGATTATATAAGTGTTAAAAACAAATTATGTCACCCTTTTTTTTATTATTATGTTGGTTTAAACTTTTTTGTTTAACATATTAAATACATGGTTACATAACCGGGATAACTGACCATGCATTACATTAATAGAATTTTAATTTATACATGCATATACCTGTACATACCATTCCCACTTAACTCATTAAATGATCATTAAGGTTTTTTTTGTTTGCTGTGTTAGATTAATGATAGTTTACCACATTCAATTATCCAGGTATTTACGAGTCAATGGGTTTGACTGTATTTGTGTTGAAAAAATTTTTTTAACCTCAAATTAGGTAAAAAAATAATTTCTAATCAATTTACACGTTTGACTCTCTCTCTCTCTCTCTCTCTCTCTCTCGCATACAAACAAAACACAATTAATATGTAATTTCAAAACTTCATCGATAACTATAATCCGATTTATAAATTAATAAAAACTAATTTTAAATTAAAACAACGCTTAACCATATATTTTGGCAACAATTTTACTGTTTATAAGTTTAATTAACCCTTAAATACAATACTGAAAACTAAATGCAATTATAATTTCAATCAATTTTATTTACTCTTAAATCTAAATCTAAAAAACAAATGACAGAAACAATCAATTTTTTGTTTGCATTAATATTCATATAATTTAAAACTCTTTTGTTATACTCTAAAAACTATGGGCAATAGCCGTCTGGCCAGCGGTCGGTGCGCTTCCCTGTGCACCGCCGCTGACGGCCAGACGCTTAGGCCTTCTTCTTCTTAGAGAAGCCGAACGTCAGGTCGAGAATGTGGTAGACGTTGGTCAGCACGAGTGCCGCTGTGCCCACAATGAGCCCGTAGTACAACACCTTATCAGCCGCACCAAACTTCAAGTACACGGGAGTGCCGTCCGGTATCTATTGGTAGTGGCCATCAATCAACACCACCGCAGCCGCACACACGCCATCACATCATAGGATAATTAATAACAACACAATTAGTAATCAAATTAACCAATCAATTAATAAACATTAGTTCACTATAAAGTATCAATCGGCTATGTGCCAATCTAGGGGCCAAAATAGTATTTTAGTCAAATATAATGTACACTAATGTAAGTGGTGGGGTTTAATCAAAGTTGTGATTCACATTTATATTAAATTCCAATGATTTGCGCTTTACAACCATTCACTTTTATTTCAAGGGCAGGTAATGATTAGTTTAATAGTAACCTTTATGGTGTATCATCATTCATTAGAAATAAAAGTCCTGCCGATTCCTACTATAAAGGGTTAGAGGGGGAGGGGGTGTTTGCGGTCAGTATCGGTTAATTACCGTATAATCTATTAGTGAATTACATGTACAGTATGACTACATAGAGAGAAATGTCTTTAGGGTTGGGTATCAATGGGTTCTAATAGGCCCGAGAAGGGGGGTAGGGATGGGCTGGAAGTGGTGACCATTACCTGTGACCAGATCTGCTTCTTGCGAAAGTTCACGTATCGTCGGGTGCCGTAAATGGGATTATTGGGGTCGCGACGGCTAGAGGTCGGTATCATCGAGTCGGGTATGTCTCGCCACGACTGCCACCCGTGTGGGTTCGGGTTCGGATTGGCCGCACCCGCAGACAGAGTGCGCTTAGCCATCGATGACTGATCCCAAAGAGACAAAGAGTTAGTGATTATCATTTGGTGTTAATGTTAACCATGGATGAAATCAACACATGTGCTGCCATTACAGCGATTATAGACTGTATGCCCCCCGTTATAGTGAAGTAATTAGTAAGTAGTGTACGCTATAACGTGTGTGTACTGTATCGGGTGGGTTCACTATAACGGGGTTTTTGTGCTGCAAATGGCATAACATATGAGAGGATCAGGTCTTACGACAAGAGCGGCCACTTTCATCGACCGGTGCTTTTGCAGCGCTTTCACCATCAGTGCCGACGACATGTCTTCAGGCGATGGGATGTGTGATAATCGGTGTCCAGAGAAAAGTGGTTAACAATTGGATTTAGTTGTGATTTACGTGAAGTGTTTGTTATTATCACTGAAACCAATGCCAACTGAAAAATGGCTATTAATTTGTTTATCCATTGATAACGCTTTGATATGGCTATGCGTTCTTATACAACGTTACACCAGATAATGGGTGGGGATATGTGCTGTATATAAAGTGCATGTGTATTGCATTACGCTTACTGTGGGGGCAGTAATACAGTTATTATGAGTAACATTGTATGTGATTCTTACCAATGGTTTCTACAGTAAGTACGGCCGCAATAAAAGGCCACAAAAAACTATTTGTAAACAAAATATGAGACAAAAAAAAGTTTTTCATACTTTGATTGCAATTAAAAACCAAATTAAATGTTAACTACAGTTAAGTCCCGATTATAGCGGACTCACACCGGCTATAGTGAACACTACAGTACACACTCGCTATAGTGAACACAACCGGTGTATCACATGTCCGGATGTATCGCAAGACTCCGTTTACCACTCATTGCGTTGATTATCATCGTTAAAGTCACCGCCGGATCAGTCGCTGACAGCCATCGACCCGAAGGCTCAAGCGATGGACAGGGAGTGGGAGTCACTGAACCGATGGTCACCACCGATGACGACAACATCAAAGAGATAAAGCCTGAGACCAAACGGTATCTGTTGTACGACCAGAGCCTCGCCGAAGGGTTTAACCTCCGGCGCGATGTCTACATACGAATGGCTCTGTTGTGCCACCGATTGGGCCCCCACTGGACACTCGTGTTGCCCGAGTGGTCATCGGTTCCCCATTGGGTGGACACCAGTCGTGACACTAGTCATGGTTTCAGAGGCGATATACCGGCCGAAGACGACAACGACGAGTACGACGACCCGGAGCTGAGGCGTTGGAGCGCTTACTTCGATGTCCAAAGTCTCGGCCACTTTGTGCCGGTCGTCGAATACCATGAGTTCTTGGATCAGATGTCGTCGACAGCTGGCAATCCTCACACAGAGACTGTAGCGCCGGTGGATGTGGTGCTAAGTCTGGACCACTTTCCGGACACGTTTGCCAACACCGATGATAATGAATGGCGCGAACGGCACGCACTCGAAGACTGTTCCCAAAGCAAGTATTACCGACGACTAGAGGGCGACACGACTGGCGGCGGGAGTCAAGTGGTTGTCAGCCTATTAGATGACAGGAGCGATGGCCGGCAACGGCGGCGACGCGTGCGATACCGGCGACTGTTGTGCCTACGGATCGACGGTTTTGTGCGGACGTTGGCCTCGATTATTGGCCACCACTTCCCGGGCGAGAGGGCTGTACTCGTGTCGAACGCCGAAGTGATACTCAACGACGAGTTCGGTGGTCGGGAGTACTGGCGGGCGCGCCGTAGTATGCGTTTCGCTCAGGGCTTGGTATCGGTGGCCAACGCCTACCGGTGGCGACACTTCGCCGCCGACGACACCACCGACCAGACACAGATCGACACCGATTGGCGGCAAATGCAACGAACCCACGGCCAAGCGCTGGGCGGCCCGTATATGGCGGTACACTTACGACGGGGTGATTTCGCTCGCTATCGCGGCCACAACGTGCCGGACGTGGACTGTATGGCCGAACAGGTGGGCCGGGCTTTGCGCCAATATATGCCGACCGATGGTCAGCGTGTGTTTATCGCCAGCGACGCCACTGAAGAGGAATGGCAGGAGATTGAAGAGGTTTTGGCCGAATTGCAGGTTAAATACTATCGTCTGGATCACGGCCTATACGCGGGCGCTCTGAGCGCCGGCCAACTGGCCGTTGTTGAACAGTTGGTGGCCATACACTCGCGGCTCTTTGTCGGGACGTATGACTCGACCTTTTCGTTTCGCATTCAGGAGGAGAGAGAGATATTGGGCTTCCGGCCCAACACCACGTTCAACGCCCTGTGCGCCAAATGCCCGCCCAATGCCGGCCCCGCCCGCGGGTCGCCGACGGCTACCGAGTTGTGTAAACAAGAGTCTCAATGGAAAATTGTTTACTGATTTGCTTTATGTGCCAAATGTTTATCAATGTATACTTTATCTGAAGTTTATTGTATTATTTATATTTATCGGTATTTATTTGTCAATTATTTATGTGTTTGTAAATGATTTTAAACTACATTTTGCGTAATTTAATTATTTTTAATTAAAAATCGTGATTTTATATGCAATTTATAACTATTTGTTTATAACATAAATTCAGTTTTAAATCATTGTTTTAATTATAATTTATAAAGCATTTAATTTTATTTGATATAATACTGTGCATTAAATGACATTTCGTTAATACTTGAATTTATTTTAAACAGTAAGTTATAGATTAAGTAAAATTATATTACATTATAATTTATTCGCCATTTCTTAGATTGTAGTTCATTTAATGTCCTGTTTTTGTAATTAATGATTTTTAAGTAAAAATAAGTTACATATGGAATCATAATTCTCACATTACAAGGAAGGTTTGAAATTAAAAAATTTAAAAGTCTATCACAAACCATCTGGTCACTATTAGGGTTGCCAACTCGTAAAGTTTTGCCTTGATTGTTAAGGAATCGGGAATTTTGTCAAAGCGTGAAGCGAGGATCATAATATATTTATGTAAATTTAATCAAAAATCAGTTTTAACTTTCGTCAAAATCTACAATAAAAGTGTTGGTCAAGAAAATGTCAAGATGAATTCTTGACATTTTCAAAATTTTCAAGGAATGTGTCAGATTAAGTTGGCAAGCTTAGGCACTATACGTGTTTATTTAATAATTATATCCCAATTGGCAAAAAACTATACACCATTTCACATCACACTTAGCTAACGAAGAGTACACACCAAAATAGCCGTAATATGCGAGCGGCAATAATATTGGTAATTGTGGCCGTATTGACCATGAGCATTTGTGCCGTGTTGACCAATCCAATTGGTATGTATTATTTTATTTGTATAAATATACTATAATATAAATCTATAACTAAAAATTATGCTCAATACCAATAGCGAAACCGGAGTTGAGACCTAATGGACTCTCGTATGATCCAGGATTATTGGATACACTTGGTCTTTCCGAAAAAAATCCCGGTGATTTAAAAGAAATTTTTGTATGTATTGTACGATTGTTTGTATTAATCTATTTGTACAGCTCTGCTATAATAGCAATCTATAACTAATAATTATTATTATGAATACCAATAGGGAGGCAACACAAAATATACATCAGTTATAAATCCTAAAGATCTTAGTGATAGTTCTGGGAACAAAAATGTAAAAATTGTGAATACCTAAATGTTGTTATTTAACAAGTTATGACAACTAAACATTTTTGATTAAATGATTAATTAAAATATTTAATTACAATATGTGTACTAATTTAACAATTTAAACATTACATAAATTGTATCAATAACTCACTATATCAACACATAATTATAAGTACGAAGTACATGATATTGCAGCAATACTGCAGAGTATACTGTACTTAGGTTTAGCTGTAGTTTTTAATTACATCATTTTATTGTGCACTGATTGGACAATAAGTGTTAGTATTTACTTCTTTGGAATGTTATATCACTCCCAGTATATACTTGTCTATATAAGGGCAGTGTTTCCCAACATTCGGGGCTTTTTGGTAGTTATCTCTCTCACTGCACGTAACGTGCGTACAGTGAGAGAGGAATTGAGATCTCTCTTAAGCCGAGAAACATTGTTTTAGTTTAACTTTATTTTACTTTTAATAAAACCTTTTATTATAACATTGTGAGTTATTATAACTACTAACTAAGCGAGAGAAGCAACCTGTGGTGGTCTACCGGACACAGCGGTCACGAGAGTGGGCACAGACCTCAAGTCGGTACGCGGACCGACGTTGCATCGGTGGACGTACCGACGATCGGCACACGTAAGTCATAGGTAACGCCCGCTCTACAGCACTCGACTGAAGCCGCGTTAGACAGCCACAGAAGAATGCCAGCAAAGGTGCATTCATGTTGCATATGGTGGAGGCGCAGTGGTATGAAAATTACTTATAATTTTTCGATTTCCTTACTTATATTTTACTTATTTTATTATATTTAAAGCCAAGCGAGTATTATTTTTTAATTTTTGTTTGAATTATTTTGATTTATTTCCTTAAACTTTGTGTTTTAAAATGTTGAAAAAGTTTAGATGTTTAAAAAAAATAAAGTTTTTTAGTTTAGTATTAGTCTTATATTTTACAAGTATTTGAAAAAAACCATGTGTTGTGCAAAGCAATAAAACTAATCCCATAATTAGACAAAAAAAATTTTAGTAATGCGTTAGTACTGTTAAACTATACTGTTTGAAGTTTATTTTATGCAATAATTTAGCAATTAGTGTCACATTTTACCCAAATTTATTACAATTATTGGAGTTAACAACATTAACGTTACATAAATTTTCAAATAATCATTAATTTTGGTGTAAAAAGCAATTAGTTTTGTCAGAACCACATTCTTTTGAAACTTAATTGCCTGAAATTTGAGCCCAAATGTCAATAGACTCACAGAACTCTAGGATATATCGGTATGCGGTACGATTGAAGCGGCCGACGTACCGACATTTCAACTGTCAATGAGCCCACTGATGAACAAATGTTATGAGGATTGGGTAACATATGGTATGACTTAAATGATTTAATAATTTTTATTTACTATAAGATTAGTAGCTTTGCAGACAGAAATGTTTGTAATACATTAAAATTTATTTAAAGTATTTTAGTATTCAGATATAAACTTTAATTAATTACAACATTTTGAATACATTACATAACTATTTAAAACTTTTTAAAGACAACTATTATATAAATTGTTTGCGATTAACAAATATAAATAATTTTTAGTTGATTATATTAAGATATTAGGTGTTAATTAAATATGAATATAATACATTTATGTTTGTTAGTCCGTAAACGGTCGGTCCGCGGACCGAAGACCTAACGATCGACATTTTTCAAAGTACACAAACAAATTTTTATTTTAATAACTATATTTATCATTAATTTTAATTTTATATAATCATAAATAGCGCTTAATACTAGTATATAATTTATATAATCAATTCCTGGTGCATAATGCCAGATGCAAAACAATTCTG